TTTATTCAATTTTTCATGCATTCGTACAATTATTTCCTTTTCTAAACACAGGTATTTTCTTTTATGCTCAGACAAGAAAATATGGAAACTCATTTTTTGTATAACACCGACCCACACAGAATATTTGACTCGTTTTTCTGCATTTCTAGGCTCCAGATTTGAATTTCTGTATTCGTATATATCAACCAATCAGCGGTGTCATATGAAACACGGGCATTCTTGGAATTTTTAAACGAAAATGTTTATCGTCTGCGACGAAAATTATATATGGCTCATTCAAGAAAATAATCAAAAATATTTCCCCTCCTTAAAATAGATATATAAAATTGGGAAAATGATTATTAACCAATGAACGTATACTAATAAACAAAATCTAATTTTTAGTATTTTTGGAACCGATTTCTCAGCTAGAAAATCGATCATTTTAGTTCGTAGAAATTAATTGTTCTGTTAGACTTTGACCAGGCTCGTTCATTGTTACACAAGACGAAATTCTCAAACCTTAATTAATTATTCATATTTTCGCATATTTATTCGTGTATACTATATTATAAAAAAGGTTTAGTGATGTTGAGTTAAGAAAAAAATATACGGACTTAGTGGCAGCTAAAAAATTACACACATACATAAACGTAAGTAAATACATAACCCCCTCATTCTTATATGCAGACGTTTTTTTTTAACTAACGCAATTGAGTGGGATGTATTGTAAAGAAAAACAAACTAAAATATTTCCTGTGTGAAGCTATTTCGAAAAGAATATTCATAATTATTTTCTTTCAATTTGAAAGAAAACTAATACTCAATAAAAAAAATCATTTAAATTTATATATATATATATATATATATATATATATATATATACATACACGCTTACATATATCATACTCACTCACTCCCTAAGAACACACACACAAACACTAAACAGAGACACATCCCCTCTCCAGGACCAATAAAACTGTCAAACTGATCAAGGGAATTCAGAGAAGCATAGATCCATCCAGCTCTTATCTCAAATAACAACTTAAAAGAGACTGTTTGACCAACACAAGGAATGTTAAAAAGATTCATGTTAAAAAGATAAAAAGAATAAAAAAATAAATGAAAACTACAGACAAAAGTTCATTTTCTCCATCAAGACATTCATTTCTGTAGTTCACTGCTACCAGCAAGCAGAAATATTTCTTCTCCTGATGATGGCCATTTTGGCCGAAACTAGTCGAGGAATCTAAATGAAATAATAATAAAAAAAAAAACGAAAGAATATTAATCTACAACCCAGTGTGTCTGAAGATTTTAATTTTTAATATTTTTTTTATTGTTCATATATATTCATATATATATATATATATATATATATATATATATATATATATATATATATATATATATATATATATATATATATATATATATATATATATATATATATATATATATATATATATATATATATATATATATATGTCCGTCTACTCTCGGTTTTCACACTCGTCTATTAGGCCGGCTAGCCAACCCCTGTTGTGGGTTGTGGACAGACTTGTGTGAAAAGACGAGAAAAGACAACAGACATAACGGCTGGAAAATGACGCGATCGCTTCGACTGATATCAATGATTTTCAGGCATCGATTATCTTTTTTCGCATATGATTGCTATTCATGTCAGGAATTTGAATCAATTTCTGAAGTGGAGTTTGTGTGCATCCTGTAAACATTTCGTGGGTATATACTTCCCCACACCTGATCAAACAACCAAGTATTTTGTAAAAGTATACTTGTTCGATCCCTGAATCTGTTAGCATCTGCCTTGTCTTGATCATTGGTAAAATTTTGCCTACCATTATTATTCTCTTTCGTCACCACAGGTTTCGCCATTTAAAATAAATGCGAGAAATTCCGTAATGTTTCTTGAAATTAAATCAAGTCATTTCTCTATATCAGATGCAATGTATAATACATTAGAATCAGAATTCTTCGTGACCCCCTGTTGAGGATCATAGCCCTCCCCAATTTCCAATGTATCGTCGTTAACAAGATCAATATGGTAGTCACGATTTGGAAAGTTTAGAATATTAACAGCAATAAAAAATTGTCGTCATTAAATAAATCATTGAGGTTGATATGCCATAAAATAAAACAAACCAAACCAAAGTCCATCTCTATTCCCTAATCCATTCATCTTCTCGGCAGGAAGGTTATCAATTGTTTTCTTCTGTCTTGCTTACCTTCAATGTTTCCGGTGAGTCAGTCTCTCTCTCTTTCTCTCTCTCTCTCTCTCTCTCTATCTATCTATCTATATATATATATATATATATATATATATATATATTTGTAGGTACAAAATTTAATGATCGAAATAAAAGTATAAAACTTCATATTACGAGACATTAAAAACAAGCGAAGCAACCGGTTTCCCTCCCGCTCTTCAGGCTTCAATGGGAGATTTAAAATTAACACAGACAAATGTACGATAAAAGGAAGTTGTGAAAAAAAAATAGCAAAAGGAACTAAAGACAAATGACAGCAAGCCGCAACAAACACTCACGTTGTTTACACAAAGAAGGCTTACGGGACCCGATGTAAAATGCAACCAGAACCTTTGGATGAAATAAGGACCAGAACCGGGAGTGGTGGATGTTAAATGATGTAATTGGGAGGTGTCATTTACGGGACAAATCAGGGAGGATTATGGAACATTTTATGGAAATATTCATAGAAATATGAGTTAATTTTTCTTATTCAGTTTATTAAACAGGTTGTTAATTTTTTTTTTTAAAAACGGAAAATAACTGAGTTGAAAAATAATTCACTAAGAATGAAACTCTAAGTTCTTTGACCCAGTTGATATAGGTCTGCGTTCGACTTTATTTTTTTAAAACAAAGGGAAGAATGAATTGGAAATAATAAAAGAGAAAGAAAGGGAAAAAACTAGATGTCGGTCAGAGGCCTCTGAGACTCTTCGTGGAAAACCCCTTATCAAAAGGCAGAAATTTTTATTTTTTTTCTTTTGAACAATAGAAACGAAATTTGTGATCTGAGAGAAAGTGTCTTTGGGTTGAGGGAACCAGTGAAACGATATGAATTGACCTTTATTGGACACCCACGTTAAGAAATGCCTAAACGTTGATAATTGATTTTCGACTATCAGGTAAAACAAAGAAGTAAAAAAGAGGACTCTCACAGGGCGCCAAGAAGGCGGAAAAAGATCCTTTTCTAAAGTCAAGACTAATTAGCAGCGGGCTGTTTGATAAAGTCAGGATTGAAAGCTAAAGATTGTCATTTTGCGTACGTGCAAAAAATTTTTGTTTTTTTGGTAACCCACACCCGCCAACAAAAGGAGAACGGTCAATAACAATTGGTCGAATACAATCACGTGACCGCGGAAGAAGAAGGAAAAGAAAACCTCGATCAATAACTGTTGGACGAGGCGGTTGGGCTGCGGAAAAGAAAGAAAAAAGGTTCGATCAGGAACGATTGGTTGAGAGCGGACATGAGAGAAAAAGAAACAGATATGCGCCGCCCACCAAGAGCACTGGAGAAAGGATAGGGGTGAAAACAATAACGATAATGGAAAGTCAAAATTAATACGACTTTTGAAATTATCGAGAAACCCCTGACGCCACCCACCCCCGGTTTGTTGCGGCGTCAATATAAGCAGGACCCCAGTCGGCAGAAATCAGTTGGAGATGCAGCCGGAGTTTTTGCAGCAGGACCGCGGGCAGGGGAAGATCCTGAACGCGGACAGCTCGGCCCTTTGCGGGCAAAGAACCCTCAGACAGAAGGACTTTCGAAACAGAAGAACTTCAGCCAAGTAGATGAAGAAGGATTGCCTGAAAACCTGAAAGAGGTTGAGCTGAAGTTGGAATTAACAGTTAGAGTATCCCGGGCGGCAGCGAGAAAAGGACAAGAAGAACTTCCCAAATTGCCTGAAAGCCTGAGAAGAATTGGAGCTGCAGACAATCCGAAAGTCGATGAGAAGTTAAGTTTCCCGGACGGCAGCGAAAAAAAGAACCCTCAGACAAGAAGAACTTCCAGCCCAAGTAGAAGAAGGAAGAAATACAACTCAAGTCGAAGAGAAGAATCAAGCGAATGATCGATAGAAATTTCGAACTGAACCACACTCCGACATACATACATGATTCTAGAAAGGTAAGACATTTTCCTATTGTGTGATAGAAGCTTGGTGCCATAGTCCACAGAGCGGGTCGGGAATTGAGAACAATTTTGTTTTTTTATGTAACGGACTTTAAGATATAAAGGTTGTTACCCTTTTTCCCAACAATTTTGTTTGGTGTCGTGAGTTTTTATTTTATTTGTGTTTTGCCACCCCCGTCGGACTCAAAGATCCTGCTGGTCCCGTCTGTCTAAGATCTAAACACAGCGTGGGTAGACAGACCGGAGATCGGTATAGTTGCTTTAGTGACCAGGTATTGGAAGCGAGTCGGGAAAAGGCTGGTGATCATCTGACCAAAGGGTTGGAGCGGCACGCTTGGACCCAGGAGGAACGACCAGGAGGAACGTCACCAATTGAACCAAAAGGATCCGACACTGGGCCAGGTGTGTAACCGTCACACTGCGAAAGTAGGTTTTCTATAAACAGTGAAACCTGTTAATGTACGATGTACTAATACATCTTAAAAGGCCAATTGATGATTGGATTCCTTTTCAACAGTGAACCTCAGTACTTCATGTTACTTAATAGCTCTTAATAACGTTTGTCTTTTTGGCAATTCTTCCAAACTCAACTCCGTCCTGGGTATGACGATAAACTACATCCGCATCCTGGATAAGACAATAAACTACGTCCAGCAGCAAGGCCTCTGATCAGACGGTTTTGAGGAGCGTGGAACCACCTCTTAATTACAGGTGTTCCCAGGTCTACCCTGACCCAGGGTGGTAGCACCTGTTAGAGTCCCAACTATGGGTAAATAGTTAACCACCTAACTCGGGTCAAAATACTAGGAAAATGTAAAAATAGATTTTAATACAAGAAAAATATTGTAAAAAATTATTACCAGCAATACATTTTTGAAGAAAAATTATTACCAGCAATATATTTTGGAAAAAGAAAATCACCAGCTATATATTATGGAAAAAAATTGCCAGCAATACATTTTTGGAAAAATATTATCAGCAAGAAAAATCTTCTCAGCATTAAGTAACCCATTAGGTTGATATGTAGTAAAAGAAACCAAAGCAAATCAAAATCAAGCTCTACTCTCCAATTCATTCATCATCTTGGCACGTAGGTTATAAGTTTTCCTCTGTCTCGCTTACCTTAAATGTGTCCGGTGAGAGAGTCTATCTCTCTCTCTCTCTCTCTCTCTCTCTCTCTCTCTCTCTCTCAGAATTGAGATATTACAGGAGGATTCTGAGAATACCATGGGCCGAACGCTTTTAGTCGACACCAGAAAGATACATTGAAAATGAAGGGCTTGTAAAGTTTGATACTCAAGGGAGAGATTGAAGGCAAGTGGGAGAGACGTAAATAACGCATAAATTTGAGTTTCAGTAAATGGATTAGCAGGACAAGGATTAGGAAAGATAACAAAAAGACACAATTTCTTAAGAGCTGGAAAGGACAGGAAATTGTGGAGAGTCATGATCACTATTGTCCTGAAGGAAGAGGACACTTAGAATATAAAAAGAATGAGCTTGAGTAAATGTATGGCAGAACAGGGTTTAGGATAGATAACAGAAATAAAAAAAAATACAAAAGATAGGAAATTGTGGAGGACCATATTCGTCAACTTCCTAAAAGGAGACGGTACATAGAAGAAGGAGAATTAGCTTGAGAAAAAGGATGGCAGATCAGCGTTCAGGAGAGATAATAGAAATAAATATTAAGAGCAACAAAAGATAGGAAATTGTGGAGAGCTATGATCGCGAACTTCCTGAAAGGAGGCGGTACATAAAAGATAAGAATGAGCTTTAGTAAAGTGATGGCAGATCGGGGTTTCCGAGATAACAGAAAGAACAAATATTAAGAGCTATGAATGATAGGAAATTGTGGAGGGCCATGATCGCCACCTACCTGAAGGGAGGTGGTACATAGAAGAAAAAGAATGAGCTTGAGTGAAGGGATGGTAGAACACGGTTTTGGAGAGATAATAGAAAAAAATATTAAGAGATACAAAAGATAGGAAATTGTGGAGAGCCATGATCGCCCACCTTCTGAAGGGAGACGCTTCGTAGAAGAAGAATAACGTGCTTGCGTAAAAAGATGGCAGAGTAGGGCATAGGAAAGATAACAGAAAGAAAAAAAAACATTAAGAGCTACAAATGATAGGAAATTGTGGAGGGCCATGATCGCCAACTTCCTGAAAGGAAACAATACCTAGAAGAAGAAGAATGAAGGATGACAGATTAAGGTTTAAGAGAGATAAAAAAAAAGAAAATTTATTAAGATCTACAAAAGATAGAAATACCTGGGAAATCATAATCGCCATCTTCTCCTTGACTTCATGAATTTTAGCGCAGTACTTGATTGGCGGCAAGGTCTCCTCATATTAAAATTGCAATGTAGCCTTAAGTTCTATGCTAATAGTTTCTTCAAACGCACTTCTCACTTGTGGAACCCTGTTTCGGCTTCTTGCTAACCAGTCAAGTTTGATCTTCAAAAATTTAAATGCAATGTCAATCGTTATCTTCTAATTTTTTAACACTTGTTCTTTTATTGTCCTTTCTCCTTAACAGGAGTTTTTTTTTCTCGTATTCTCTAACAGACAAGAGTTGTGTTTTGTGGCTTTATTGTCCTACTCACGGTGAAATGATTATATCTATCTATCTATCTATCTATCTATCTATCTATCTATCTATCTATCTATCTATCTGTCTATCTTCAAACCATCATGTAAATGCAATGTCAATCTTTATCTTCTGTCTTCAGAATTCTTGTTAATTTATTGTCCCCTCCCTTTAATAGTAGTTTTTCTAATATTCTCTGACACTCGGTAACCACGCCCTTGTGTCTTAGTGGCTTTATTGCCTTTGATCTTCAAAATTTGAAATGCAATCTAAATCGTTGTCTTCTGTCTTTTTACTTCTTTTTTTAATTATTATTCTCTTTCTTAATAGTAGTTTTTTTTTCTCATATTCTCTAACACTCACTAACCCTCTGCGTCCAAGTGGCTTTATTGCCTTACTTGGGGTGAAATAATTCACAAGTAAACTTGGACGTATACAATAAAATCATTGAGCATTAAACCAGTTTACATAGTAACTATACAATAAATACTTACATGGTAATTGTTCTGATGATCTTTACTATACGGTACCCAGACTATATGAATTTGAACGCAGTACTAGATTGGCGGCAAGGTCCCATCATTTTACAATTGAAATGGCTTGATTTAACCATAAGTTCAATGCTAGCAGTTTCCTCTCTCGCACTTCTCGCATGTGGAAATATGATCCGGCTTCTTGCTTTCCAGTCAATATAAACTGTTATCTTCTGTCTTTCTCCTATCTATTGTCCTTTCTCCTTGACAGTAGTTTTTTTTCTCATATTCTCTGACACTGAGTACCCCACTTGCGTCTTAGTGAATTTATTACCTTGATCGATGTGAGATAATTAAAAAGGAGTAAGTGTAAATTCCATTCTAATGATTTCGTCACTAACAACAATTTTGTGTCCCTGTCAACTATGATCTTCAAATATTTAAGCATCCATTATTATCACACTTCCACTTTAATACACTTCTTTTTATTAGCTTCAACCGCCCAGAGTATGGCAATAAACTACAAGGGAGGGTTTGAGGACCATTTTTCCACATCTTAACTGCTGTTGTTCCTAGGTCCACCCTGACCCGGACTGGCATCACCTGTTAGGGTTCCAGCTAAAGACAAATAGTGATCCCCCGCCAAACTGTGGTCAAAACATGAAAATAAAAAATACATTTTAAAAAATTACCTGCAATATTTTTTGGGGAAAAAAAGCATTAAAAAAGCTCACAAAGAATAAAATTTCGGCATTAAATGACCCATAAAATGTTGTTATGCCGTTAAACAAACAAACCAAACCAATAACCCATAACAAAGTTTTCTCTTTTTCCTTTCTTAGCGGCTTTATCGCCTTGCTTAGGATGAAAAGAACAGTTTAATGGCATAAATGGAATGCTAGAAATGAACGCGTCCTACAATTTTGTCAACCCCAGGTTAGTTGAAAAGCTGCTTGACTAGTTGAAGAGTTCGATTGCAAAACTTTGTAGAGTTGAGATCGTTCAGTAGCCCGATGGCCATAAGTTGAAACCTGGAACCCTGTCAGTTGATTCATATGGCTCAATCTCCCCAGGGATATCTTGCAAAAGCTTTTAGTTTCATTGTTTGTTTTCTTTTGTTGTTGTTTTGCTTTTCGACTGCATCATGTTTTCTGTCACGTTCACAAATGCATTCTGGGTATTTTTTTTTATTTTTACATTTAAACATGAGAAAAAATAAATAAAAAAAATAGAATTTTTCCTCTGTGTTGCACGATGTTTCACAAACAAACGGACACAAAATGTATTTTTTGCCATTCAGTTTCATTCCGTAAACTGAAAAAAAAAGAAAATTTAAACAAAAATTGACCTCCAGTTACATCCACTAAATAAATGTAGAATGCTAGTATAACCATCGCAAAGGTTACAAGTAAATTCTACCTGCAATGACCTCTAGTGACCTAGGTCTTCGAACCAGGGTTCATCGGTCAAGGCTTTTCTGAGGTCAAATACATTTATTTGTGCTTCATAGTAAACCCAGTATTTCACTACATAAATAAATGAACCTTGAAAATTAGATATATATATATATCTACAGACAGCCTGTTCGCTGTATCACAGCTCATCTCTGTGATAGACATCCAATTACTTCAAGCCGGGATCGAACACGACTTATTTGACACCTCATATGGTGTATAACCTATTTCGACAGACGATGATGATGGTCGCGTGTCTTATCATTCCCTGTGTGGACTTAGTTTAGTCTAGTGATAATTTCCCCACCAAAGCAAATATGAAAAATTATAATGTTTACATTGGAATTTCGGCGGGGGAATGGAAAAAGGGATTTTATACACATAGGCACTGAATTTCTAACCCTAAACTAAAACACCAGACAACTCTTAAAAAGAAATTTTGGAAATTGAAGGAGAAAGTTTTGAACTAAGAGATAATTTGGAAGATTATAGTTTCCATACGCACTTTTAATACTCTTAGAGATAGGTGTGACTTATATTTGGAAGAAAAAATTAGAATAATAAAATACAATAATCAAAAACAACTATTAAATCATAGGAATGAATTAGTATTAAAATGTCGACATAGAAATAAATTCAAATTTCCATAATATAGGTTCAACTTAATTAGCTAATATATTTCCGTAACATTCACTCCCCTCTAAATCTCCCAATGTTGAATGTTCTCAAATTCTACTTTCTATAACTTTTTCACATTATATTAATTATAATTTATAAACTTTTCCCAACTTAAAGATCTCTCCAACCCTCCTTCAATTAATACCTTACATCAGTGGCCTTTTGTACATATGTTTATGTGGACATTTACCTTGTTTTAATGTCAGAAACCCTCCCCCAGATTTTGGAAAATTATTTTTGGATTGTATCTTGGATTGTACGTTTAACATCGTCTACCTTAAACTTTAAAGTTAATATCTCAAAAACGAAGAATTTGCGGTCATATGTTTACATGGATTTTTTTTTTATTTTGGTGTGAGGAACCCTCCCCAAATTTTGTATTTTTTATACATCCAATTTATATATATATAAATTTATATATATATATAAGTTTTCTATATAAATGTATATATATATATAAATTTATATATATATATATATAAATTTATATATATATAAATTTATATATATATATATATATATATATATATATTAATTTATATATATATATATGTTTTAATTTTATATATATATTTTAATTTATATATATATATTTTGTACATCCAATTTTTTATATATATAAATTTTTATATATATATATAAATTTTCTATAAAATTTATATATATATACATTTATATATATATATATATATAAATTTATATATATATATAAATTTATATATATATATCAATTTATATATATAAGATATAGATAAGACAATGTTAATCCGTGTCACAAATCTTTACACCTGTCGACAATTTCCGTTTTCTCTATACTAACACAATTCATTTAGTGGTACTGCAAAAAAACAAAAAACAAAACATGTTTGTGTGAAAAAAAAATGTTGTTCGAAAAGAAACTTTGTAATTCATTTCTTTCAATTTGAAAGAAAAATAATACTCAAATAATAAAAAAAAAATATTAAAATTTGAAGTGCTGGGAGAGCCATGGCACGTAGAACTAGACTGGTGGACGAAATAAAGTGTTCGGTTCAAAATTCCAATCACCTAAAGAAGGCCGGAGCGTAAAACGGCCGAAACGTTGTAAATATGGCAATGAAAATGATGATAACAGTCTGAATAAGGAAAGTAATCATAATACCTCATCTCAGAGATACAGACAGATATTGTAGAGCCGTGTTGGAGATTTTTTTTATCTTCGCTTTTACACACATATTCGTTTACATGTATTTATGTTTTTAATTCACTTTTTGAGATATTCTAGTTTTTCTCTTGACATATTAAGTTTTTAATATATCACGGGTAAATTAATGACTATAGTGGGCAATGGAGAATGGAGTAAGTTATGCCATTTTTCTCTCTTTCTACGCACAAAAGTATTATGTTTGACTACCTTGTTAGACATTGCATTACACCTGGACTCTGCCTTTGTTTTTTGAACAATCATTTGAAATAGAATCCATATGTTTACCTATTTTCCGGAAGATTGATCTTTTACTCTTAAATGAAGAATTCTTTTTTTCTGGGAAGCATTTTTCTTCTCTATCTTTTATTTTTTCGTTCATTTATTCTCAGTGATAACACGAGTTACTGATCGGGTGCTCTTAGATTTTCCGCTGTCTGAAGTTGCTCTTACCAATTTTCCGCTTGACCATTTCTCAAATATTCTTTATTTTCTTTTTTACATTTCTCTCTTCCTTTTATACCCAGTCTCTCTTTCAATTATACTTTCGTTCTTCCTTTCTTTTTTTCTCTGTTCTGCATTTCACTTAATCCGTGATTTTCTTTCTTATTTTTTCTGTCTTTCTTTTATTCCAAGTGTCTCTTTCTTTTCTTTCTTTCTTTCTTTCTTTTATTCTAAGTCTCTCTTTCTTTTCTTTCTTTCTTTTATTCCAAGTCGCACTTTCGAATATACTTTCTTTCTTTCTTATATCCCAAGTCTTTTATTCGCTTATACGTCTTGCTTTCATTTTCACTGAATCAATGATTTTCTTTCTTTTTCTTCCTTTTTTCTTTCTTTCTTTATTTATTTCAAGTTTCTCTTTCGCTTACACTTCTTTATTTCTTTCTTTTCTTTCTTTTTTTCTATCTTTCTTTTACCCATCTCTTAAACCAAGCTTTTCTTTTTTTTCTTTTTGTTTGTTTGTTTCTTTCCAAGTCTCTCTTTCGCTTATAATCTCTTCCTTCGTTTTCTGTATTTTTTCCTTCTCCATTTCTTTCTTTCTTTCTTTCTTTCTTTCTTTCTTTCTTTCTTTCCAAGTCTCTCTTTCGATTACACTGTCTTTCTTTTATCCCAAGTCTCTCTTTTGTTAATATTGTCTTTCTTTCTTTTTCTTTCTTTTATTCCAAGTCGCTCTTTCGTTTATAATTTCTTTCTTTTATCCTAAGTCTGTATTTCTTTCTTTCTTTTTTTCTTTCTTTCTTTCTTTCTTTCTTTCTTTCTTTCTTTCATCTGTTCCTGTTGAAGATAGACTAGCCACAAATGTACACGAATGACAAATATAACCTAGTCCATATGGTAACACAGAGCCAGATACCGTAAACTTTTTAAAAACTTATTTAGAAATGTTTACGGTAGCTGGCTCAAAAACGAAGGGTTTGCGGATATATGTTTATATGGACTTTTGTCCTTGTTTTGGTGTGAGGAAGTCACAACCAAAAGCTTATTATTTTCGTGTGCAGTACATTCCATAGCGACAACGTATAAATTAATCATTTTAAAATAATTACAGCGCTCTTTCTTTGATGAATTTCATCTGAACATCAAAAAACTGATTAGACAACTGGAATTGTGGGGAATTCGGTTTCAGCTCCGATCTAGAATTCAGTCAAAGTTTTTTTTTTTTTTTTTTTTTTGTTTTTGTTTTTGGTTTTTTTTTTTTTGGTTTTTGTTTTTTTGTAAATTCATGTTCGAATCACTCAATTCCCCAGCGAATTCAAGTGTTTCAATTTAATTTTCGCAACCCCAGCATTTCGCTTAACGATTACATTTGGGTTCGAGGCCCATAGTTTAAGAAGCGCTTTTCTAATATTTAATTAAATCTTACTAAATTTTATTCCGATGTTTGTCGTTCATCACTATTGCTTATTTCCTCTTATCCGTGTTTATTTGACCCTGTGAGGGAACTCACAACTAACGGAGTCGAAACCTTGACCCCATCCTTTTCCAACTATCATTTTTTTTCACCATTTTTTTTTATATTTACTGTTGCGTCAATTGTTTTTAACAGAAGTGATGGTGATGTTTTAAAAACCCGCACGAACACGCTCAGTAATTATTTAAAAGCTTTAAAGTTATCCGTATGGAATTTCTTGCAAAACAAGCAATTCAATATAAAAGAAATGACCGGAAGTTGGTGGGAATGTAAAATTGCATTAAATGTAATGAGCATTTTAATATGCTGCTGCTATATTCATAATAAATTTTGTTGAGTGTTAGTCGGTTGATTTTGATATAGAGAGAATTTCTAGTTTTTGGTTATTATTTTCGTCGTGTAGTACATTCCACAGCGACAACAGATGAATAAATAATTTTAAAATAATTTCACCTTAACATCTAATTAGAAACTAATAAGAGAACTAGAAAAGATCAGTATAAATAATAGACACAATATGCCCATATTATTCAATTATATATATATATATATAACCAGACTAGGCGATGTCATCTTCTGCTTTAAATTTAGACACCCCAACCTTACCCTGACTTGACATCTGTGAATGAAACTGAGATATTGATACACATTATTAACACCTTACGCCCCTTTTTCTTTAAACAATTGCTGTAGCCGTTACCATAGAAATTTTGATTTCAATAATGAATATGCTTGTCAAACGCGTAAATTTCAGATATAGTTATTCAAAAAAAAATTTCGCTTGAAGATGGAACAGAGCTTAGTTCTTTAATTCAATTTAATTCAAATAATTATATTGAAGTTTTCGGCTCATGTTTTGAAACATGAGAACTATTATGTAGCGTGTTGGAATCATATTTTTAAATAAATAATTATATTTATGCTCTACTTTTGTATCGAGCACTATTTTTTAAAAATAATAACAAAAATACTAAAGAACTTTGGATTATTTACCTAACCAGTTCTTTCCTATTTTCTATATATTTTTTCACACACACACACACACACATATATATATATATATATATATATATATATATATATATATATATATATATATATATAGTTAGATCTCTGACGATCTGCTTAGGTGAAACCTTGGTAGGTTTATCTGGCTCTCTAGGTTTAACTAGGTCTGCTCTACTCACTGTATTGAGCACTTTATTTAGTTATTTTGGGTACTCGCATCAGGGGTTTTTTCTTTGGGCCTTGGACTCGTATGCTGGACGATTATTCACGGTTAACGTACACGTTCTTTCTTATTATATAGCTTTTTTCCCTTTCGTATTGGCTTGTTTATTTGCAAATCAACACACTGAAAGTTTTCCGAGCGAGTGTAGTTTCTTATACCTATATATATATATATATATATATATATATATATATATATATATATATAGTTAAGTTATGAAGAACTTGATAAACCGAATTGGTAAATCCAAGGAGGATGAAATCCTGAGAGCTCAATGTGAAGAACAGAGCTAATATTTTTTTTCCTCTCATTTCATTGTTGGAAGTGTTACCTGATGATCCGGAATCCTCTAAAAAGGATTTTGGTGAAATGAATTATTGTAAATGTGTTAATGAATTATTGTAAATATGTTAATATCTATCTATCGATTTATCTATCTCAGTCTGTTCATATCCAACTATTTATCTATCTTAAAGTGGTCTGTTTTTTTCATTCTATACATATATATATATATATATATATATATATATATATATATATATATATATACGTGAATTTCTGTGCGTGTGTGTTTGTTCAAAGCAGATTCACTAATTCAGACTTTCTTTTCGATTGACTTCTTCCTTTTCTCCTCATGTGGCTGCGAAGTTTTTGATTCCAATGCCGATGGAACACCGCCAGTTGTTATGGCCTTTTGCTTGTCTTTCAATTGATTTAGGCTCAAGTCCACTGGATATCATCGTTGTCTTGTGTTGGTCCTTGTAAATTTTTGGTCTTTTTTCTAGAGGTAATCTCACTGAATAAGACTTGACGTGGAATCCTTGGCACTTCAGTTATCGTTACATGCCCTGACCATCGATGTCGGTGCTTCATGACTGCGGCATTCCAAGACTTCCGTTTTGGTAAGAGGCAGAAACTGAAAAAACTCCGTATAACACCAAAAATGTACTGAAAGCAAAGATTATAGCAGCAAGAAGAGTTGCAGGATATTCCGAAGACATATGGAGACCCTGGTTGAAGCGAATGGCTATTTCATGGATTGAATTTACTCTTTTGTATTTCAAGATATTTCTTTGTAATTTTGGTAAATATACAGATTAAATTGAGATTTCTGTGTTATTTTCTTTTTGGAGTCATCTAGACGGCAAAATATCCATCGCACCCTGCAGATATAACGTTTAAGCAATAAAATAAAATATAAATGTATTAAAATAAAATATAAATGTAATAAAAAATCATGTGTTGGGTGCAGTTGAGGAAGAGACCAACAAAATTTCTTTCTACCGCCAAAGATGAAATGAAGACAAGGATTATGGTAGCATTGACCAAATTAAACAGAAGAGGTGCGGGATATTCCGAAATCGTCTCGAAGCCAATGGTGATTTTATTGAATAGATTTACTGTTTAATATTTCAAGATATGAAAGTCCCCCCCGCCCCCGTTTACATCAATACTGGAAAGACCTTCATCAGCGACTCAACATTGAAACCAATTTTCCTGAAAAAGTATTTTAAGAGTAAGATTTTATGTATTTCAACCAGTATTCTATCTCAGTCTGTTCCTATCTATCTATCTATCTATCTATCTATCTATCTCTGTTTATATCTATCTTAGACAATTTATATCTATCTATCTATCTATCTGTCTGTCTGCCTCACTCTATTCATATCTATCTATCTTAGACTATTTATATCTATCTATGTATCCATCTATCTATCTATCTTAGACTTTTCTTATCTATATATCTATCATTGTCACCCCGTTTACATCTATCTATCTATCTATCTATCTATCTATCTATCTATCTATCACATTCTGTTCATTATCTATCTATCTATCTATCTATCTATCTATCTATCTATCTATCTCATACTGTTCATATCTGTCGCTGTTTATCATATTTATCTCAAACTGTTCATATCTATCTATCTATCTCAGTCTATTCGCTATCTATTTATCTATATCAGAATGTTAATATCTATCTATAGATTTATCTATCTCAGTCTGTTCATATCCAACTATTTATCTATCTATCCATCTACATCAGTCTCTTCATATCTATCTATCTATCTATCTATCTATCTATCTATCTATCTATCTATCTATCTATCTTAGTCTATTCATATCCGCCTCGGTATCTACCTATCCAGCTATGTCAGTCTGTTCAAATCTAGTTATCTAGCAAATTCTCTACATATCAATGACTCTTTCTCTCATTCTATTCATATCTCTACGCATCATGGTATCTATCTATCTATCTCTATTTTTTCATATCTATCTATCTATCTCATACTGTTTATATCTATCTATCTATCTATCTATCTATCTATCTATCTCTGTTTTTTTCCCTATCTATCTATCTCATACTGTTCATATCTATCTATCTATCTATCAATCTATCTATCTATCTATCTATCTATTCATATCCCCCTCGGTATCTACCTATCCAGCAATGTCAGTCTGTTTAAATCTAGTTATCTAGCAAATTCTCTACATATCAATGACTCTTTCTCTCATTCTATTCATATCTCTACGCATCTATCTATCTATCTATCTATCTATCTATCTATCTATCTAGTCGCGTTTCTTTATACCTAGGCATTGATTCAGCTGAACACAGTTACTCGGAAACACATTAAAAAATTCCGTTAAGAAATGTCCGACCTTGGCGATTGGTTATCTGCCTCTAAAAGCCATGGAGAAATTGCATAATCTTCCATATATGGAGAACTAAAGTCTCGTCTTTCCCTGATGATACATCATTGGGGGGGGTTACAGTATCACCACTGATATATTGCAGACCTCTGTCAAAATGAAACGGCATCAGATTGAATGATAGTGTTTGATTTGTTTCTGCATTTATATATTTCTTGAGAAATATATAGCTCTAAAATAAATGATTTTTTTTTATTGTACATATTTGTTTTATCTCATTCCTGATCGTTGGCGAAATTCGTCGTCGGACAAATGTGGCTTTCTCGGAGATATTTGATAATATGCTGAAAAGAATTGGATGTGCTTGCGAAAATATAATACAGCAAAAAATCATGTTATTCGATTATGTAAATCACTTAGACATCAAATATTTCCACAAGATTCATCAGAGCTGAGAAAATTTATTTACATGAAACAAATATATATATATATATATATATATATATATATATATATATATATATTCATCCCTGCCTTTCTCTTTGTACATTTACATAAACTTATCGTACGATAAGAAAAATATATTGATTGAAAAACAATATATATGTTTGATTGAAACTTATATATATATATATATATATATATATATATATATATATATATATATATATATATATATATATATATATATATATATATATATATATATATATATATATATATATATATATATATATAATCACTTTGTCTGACGATCGAAAAAGGCGTGAAACCCAGGATCACAAACTCGCATCAATCTATAACTGATATTCAGCGCTTTCCAATTCGTACACGCAATTATAATATAAATAAATATATAAAATATATAAAATATATATATATATATATATATATATATATATATATGCATACACATTTTCATATATATATATATATATATATATATATATATATATATAAATGGAGAAAGGCCGAAAATTATTTTTATGATATTTTTATGTTTATACATGTTTTTTATAGATACAAATATTTAAGTAAATGCTCTGTTTACAATAAACAGTATTAATAACATTTACCGGCCTGAATGTCCGAGAAATTGTCATAGAAAATATTCAGGTCGGTAAATTTATTATAGACAGAGCATTTACTTAAATATTTGTATCTATAAAAAGAATGTATAAACATAAAAATGTCTTAAAATAATTGTCGGACTTTGTCTATTTCATAATGTGTGACGTCATTTGTTTTCATTTGGATACGCCATGAGCATATATGAATGTACGTGAGAGAATCATGGAAGATTAAAGTTTAAAGGCAGTAAATTCGATCTTGCTAATCGAACTATTCTCTGTGGCTCGATCGGTTAAGAGCACGTCAGGCTAAATCAGGGTTCCGTATAGAATACAGGCTCGATTCCTGTTGGAGAACGAAATTCTATGAAAATTTCTCGGACATTCAGGCCGGTAAATGTCGTTTAATACTGTTTATTATAAACGGAGCATTTACTTAAATATTTGTATCTATAAAAAGAATGTATAAACATAAAAATGTCTTTGAAATATATATATTATTTTAGAAGATTACACGGAAAACATGTAAAAGTCGCTACACAGTTGCAGTCGTCTTCCAATGAGTATCAATGCATCTCATCAGGCGAATTACTCGTGAGTGAACGATTTATTTAGATTTAAAAGCAAAATACATCATCTTTTTACGAAAAAAAAGAAAAAGCGGGGTTATAAGGTTCGTGGGCTTTATTCCGTCAACCAAACAAATATGACCACCGTTAGATTTAAATTAAGCGAAGAATCAAAAATTATAAATTACTTTTTATAAATGCGTCAAGACCCGTAGATTGGCAGTTAACAGCAGGCAGACATAACCTAAATCTGATACGAATAGTTACATAAATCATACAGACCAGACAATGTCGTCTCCTAAAAGATAAAGACGGGGTGGAGATGCTAAACAAGTTATATGCTTTGTGAATTTCCGAGATTATTGTTTTAAATAAATAGCTTCTTTATGAAACTAGTAAATAATTTAAACGTATAGCATTATTTGGTAAATTAAAATGCAACTGTTGAATAAAGATTCTTCAGATAACATGTTAATAAGACTAACCAATCAATATAAAATAGCAAAAATACCAACCAAATACCAATACATCCGTACAAGATCTTACTAATACCACCAGCAGAATAATACAAAACTATATTAAATCGAAATTAATCTTACAAATAGAAAGATAACCAAATATGGTGCAACGCAATACAACTAAAAGTATAAGAAAAAGCATAATCAATTTCCGAAGTTTAAGTAAATTCTAAGGTAAAACGTTAACCATGTTTACAATTTACAGTTAATTCACTTCTTTGATTTAAAAAGAAATTTTTATTAAATCTGATAATTTGCAGTTTCTCAGGTAAGCAGAGAAAACAGGCTTTATATAAAGATCTACATGTCTTCGCCGTTTTTAAATTTTCCATTTCACCTTAATTGTCTTATTATCATCTGTTAAACTCCAAAAATATGTAGAATGTAATGTATTATTTCTGTAAGCACTGTTGGTGAAGGAAAAGATACATAGTCTTGAAAGAATTCTTAGATGTTACGTTAGATAGTTAATGATATATTTCAAACTTATATGAAGAATAATCCCAACCCAATTTATATTCACCATAATTCTACCCCCGCCCATTTGTAATCCAATATATACCTTTGTCTGATAACTATAGTATTAATAACCACTGAACAGAAATATATGGGTTTGATAAATATAGTGGTGTCTATAAAAAGTTTGAACGAATCCCCATCTACACACCCCATTTACTCAATGAGTACTTTGTTAGGCCATAGGTTTTAATGTGTTGTTTCGTTAAATATTTTACTAAGAGGGTTACTTTTAGAAAAATGTTTATCAATTAACTGGAAGAACTTAGGCCTAACTTAACTTGATTAAATGCGGTTGTGTAGCAAATGATCTTCCCTATTTATTTCCTTTGGACCACTATCATCATATTTTCTAAAAGTTGATTTCAGCGCACTTATAGCCACTATTCTTCAAAACTTTAATGTACACACCGCTATATTTATCAAACACATCTTTGTCCGATCAGCGGTTGCCAATCTTAAGTTCTACTTAACTAGATCTAACGTAACATCAAGAAAATGTACTTGTTTAACATTAATGCTTATCTTAACCTTAAGATTTAAATATTTTAGTACTTATGATTCACTTTTCTTAAATTATCTACATTAATTAATATATATATATATATATATATATATATATAATGTGAGAGAAAGAACAAATGGAGTAAAAATCCACAGTTCGTAACATTTATTTTTTAAAAATTGTGAATACAAAGTAGAGTATATATATATATATATATATTAAGAAATGGACAAAGTCCGACAATTTATTTATTAAAGACATTTTTATGTTTAACGTTCTTTTTTTATAGATACAAGTATTTAAGTAAATGCTCTGTTTATAATAAACAGTATTAAATAACATTTACCGGCCTGAATGTCCGAGAAATTTTCATAGAAAATATTCGTTCTTTGACAGGATTCGAACCTGCATCCTATACGGAAGCGTCATTTACGCTGACGTGCCTTACCGATCGGCCACAAAGAAGCGTTCGGTAGACAAGGTTTATAAGCAGTAAATTCGACCTTGTCGAATTTCCCAACTCTCAGACACAAAAAACGATGCAGATAGATTAGTCATATCATAAAAGACTAAAAAACTAACCTGTCAACAAATTGACATGATCCTCCCACGGGATTCTAATGTTTCAGGCACTGTCATCATCATCATTCCCTGACTTTTGTAATCGTCGGGAGCAGATCCGAATGCAAAAGCCACACTAACTCTTTTCCACAACGGACTATTAACGGCAGCCATCATTAATTCTTGTACAGTCATACCTGTCCATTGTTTGACACTGTGCAACCAGTTTTTGCGTTAGCGTCCTCTCCTGGGTCCACCTCCAACGGTGCCTTGTATATGTCAATAACTGATACATAATAAACTGCAAATCGAAGAAACAAAAATATGGAAGCTTAAAACTACAATTTTAGCAATAATTTTTTTAGGGATCCTCTGTGAAAGTCATACCAATTATTGTTGCAATACGATCAAAGATATGATAGAGAAAACTATCGAAAATCGTGTGAGAAACATTCCTGGACACATTAGCATCTCACAACTAAAAAGATTTCGTCCTGGGTAAAACGTTAAACGACATCCGCGTCCTGGGTAAGACGTTAAACGACATCCGCGTCTTAGGGAAGACAATAAACTACATCCAACAGCAAGGCATCTGATCAGGAGGTTTTGAGGAGCGTGGAACCACCTCTTAATTGCTGGTGTTCCCAGGTCCACCCTGATCCAGGGTAGTAGCACCTGCTAGGGTTCCAGCTATGGGCAAATAGTTAACTATTACAGCAATATTTTTTGTTAAAATTATTACCATCAATACAATTTTGAGGGAAAAATATTACCAGAAACATATTTTTGACAAAACAAAATATTACCAGCAATAAAAAATGTTGTCGGCATTAAATAACCCATTGAGGTTGATATGCCGTAGAACAAAATAAACCAAACCAAACCTAAAGAGATTACTGCTTGTGGAACTCCCTATGTCATCCGCAAAATACTTTCCATCTAAACGGTGCGTCCCAAATTTGAATAGATAACTCTGCTACAGTACCCTTAATAATAATAATAATAATAATAATAATAATAATAATAATAATTACAACAACTATAAAGCGTAGTGCACGTGAGTCCGTCCGTCCGTCCGTTTTTCGATGTTGCTGATTCATAAACAACCTGCAGTAACAGGTGTGGAATGATCCACGGTTACCTCCCTTGTCAAGAAATTGTATCTGCTTTCGTTATAAGAACAGAGAATGAATGTGGGGGGATT